CCTTCCTGCGATTGCGTGCATTCTGTTCGGCCATGACGGCCAAGATCTGATCGACGAAGTGCTCCTTGATGAAGGCTATCCTGTTCTTGACGGCGGCAATGTGATTCTTGACCTCGACTAAATCTTTGGCGAGCCAGAGAGGGATTTCGATCTCATTCTTGACGCAGGAAACCTCAACTCATTCATTGGCGAGCTGGAGGAGGCGCAGTATCAAATGGCTCCGACGATGCCATTTATGCCGGAGATTTAGCAGCCAATCATGCAACCGCCATCGGCGGCGGTGGAGTCTGAGTTTCCTCTTCCTCAACTGCCTTCTCCGCTGACGGTTACTCAGCCGCATCCAGACAACTCATTTATCCAGCGGATTCCGTCATCAGAAATTTTTGGTCCGACCGTATTTCTTTATGAGCCGGGCACTTCTCTCAAAAGGCCCTCCGGACCGGAGACGCCGGCGACTCTGGAGAGTACATGGCTTCACGTTTATATATCGGCCAAAACCATTGATCTCCGGTCACTGCCTGCATTTTTCTCGGGTTTCGGCCGTGTTTCTTGCTTGTTCCTCTGTCGACCTGGTGCGAACGGCGGTTTCACTAGAGCATCCATCACATATGTGTCTGCGAATGGTTTAAAGATGGCCACGGTGAAGCAGAATGGATTTATCGACGGTGAAGCCGTGACTTGGCAGGATAGGTCATATCCCTGTTCCGACGGATTCGTCAATGTAAATCCTGCTAGCGGCGACGACGTCATTCCTGCGACTGCGAGCAATCCGCTAAGCAAAATTGACTGGCAAGATCTAATCGACAAAGCGCTTCTTGACGCCGACCAGCCAGTTAATGACGGCGGCGAGCGGGATTGGATTGGCGACGCCATTGGCGGTCATTTTCCGTTCAAGAGCTTGATCGTGGGAGAAGGTAGTGCTCAGCCGCAAATTAACAACATGTCGTCATTTACCCAGACGATTCCGTCATTGGTATTTTTCGGTCCTACCGCCACTAAAAACGTATTTGATTCTGAGTAGGGCACTTCCCGCAACAAACGCCATAGAGTTGAAACCTACGTACGTTTACCGGAGATGTCGGAGACTCCACTACTACATGTCCATCTTGCTGCTTTTGGAAACATATTGGACTTGACCCTCGGCGTACCTGCTGAAAATGGTTGTTTCACTAGAGCACTTATCAATTATCTGTGGCCGGAGGACAACCTGAAGCTGGCCATGATCAACAATCCCGGATTTATCGACGGCCAAGCCGTGACCTGGCACCCTACGTCGTATC